TGGGCTGTGTTTTTTGAACGATGGTAGTCAGAGGATTAGGGTTAGGGTTACAAAAAAATTAATTACAAAAAAGGAAATAAGTTCCTGATGAAGGGCACTAGTACTAAGCTTAACCAGTTCTTTCTGTTGTGTTATGGAGCCGGCTCCTACTGGCTCCCCTTCTAACGTGAGGACTCATAACCCTGGCAAAACATAACTAACAGAGCCGGCTTGTTCCAGCTGCTACTAGCCGCCAGAGTTCGAAACTCCAATGCATATTCTGCTACCATTTTCCTTGACGCAGCTTTGGAAGGAGGTCTCCTCTAACCTTTCTGTCCTCTGGGTAATCAAACACAGAGAGAAACTCCTTTACAAATTGTTCATAAGATAGGCACTGTAGCTTCGGCCAGAGTCCTATCCGCCAGCCAAGATACCACAAAAGAGATTTTAGTTAAATATGAACTCGGTGGGGAATTGTTAAAAAAAATGGAGCATTGAAGTAAAAATCCACAGCACTTGTCAGGGTTGCCAACAGAAAAACTAGAACAAGGAACCTCTGGTGTGGGGATGCTTAGGGGGTTCACAGTACTACTAGCAGTACTTAGGAGCTGTAACCGAGACCAAGTTACTGACTAATTGTGCTAGTTGGGTTTGTTGTTCACCTTGTTGTACAGATAAAGTTTCTAGTGATTTAGTTACTCCAGATAGTACCTGTTGATGTTGTCCCAACATCTGACCTTGATTAACGATGTCATTCTGCATAGCCTCCGAATCCGCCGTCTGCATGGTCGGTGAGGTATTCTGTAATGCAACACTACTGCACAGACACTTGCGGATGTTGTTAAAAGAGGCTTTGCTGTTTGAAACGTGATCCAAGCTCATAGTCGAAAAACATGCACAGCTCAGATCCAAAACAATCCAAAAAGATATGAACAAAAACATAACACAGTCAGGCAACCAAGATCAACATGGCAAGGGCAAAAATCAGAGTCAAAAATCCACAAACACAGTTCAGATACGCAAAGGGTAAAAACAATGTAGAACGCTTGGTAGCTCAAGTAAATAAATATTAATAATAATAATGATAATAATAAGTTGCTCAGCTTAAAGCCCAGGCTTATATAATAACTGACTAGACTCATGTGACAAGCAAAAAAGATGTAACAGATTAGTATTCTGGTGAGGGAGAGCGCCGATTGTTGGCTGATCAGCGGTCACGTGATCTCCAAGAGAGTTCTGGGAAGTGTAGTTCTCAGATCCAGAGGAATGCATGATACTTGAAATCACATCTAGAATAAAGTTCTCTCTGTAAACTAATAGAGAGTGAATGGTTTTGAATACTGTCATGAATGTTCAGAGAAAGTTTTAAAAGTGTTTATCATCTTTGAACAGAGAGACCAAAAGCTACAGTGAAAGTCCAGCCAGCTGATCATGTGTTCATCAGAGAGAGAGTCACTCTGACATGTGAAATAGAAAGTGGAGATCACTGGAATTATGAATGGTATAAGAATAATAATCTTCTCAGAGATGCTCAAAGGAAGAAATATGAAATCTCTAATGTTGATCAGTCTCATGCAGGTGTTTATACCTGTAAGGGAACACAGTCAACAGGCCGAATATACACACACACCAGTGAAGCTGTTACACTGACTGTATCAGGTGAGTGTGGCATCTGTTTCATTTTGTCTCTTCCAATTAACAGCTAAATGTGTGGTAGAAAATTCTGGACTTTTTTCAAAATCAAAAGTAAATGAGATTAAATTGTGTATTTACTGCATTAACTACAACCCCATTTTCAAAAAAGTTGGGATGCTGTGCAAAATGTAAATAAAAACAAAATGCAATGATGTGCAAATCATTTAAACCCTATATTACATTGAAAATAATATAAAGACAACAAATCAAATGTTGAAACTGAGAAATGTAATTCTTTTTTGAAAAATATATGCCCATTTTGAATTTGATGCCATTTCCAAAAAAGTTGGGATGGGGGCACGTTTACCACTGTGCTGCATCACCTCTTCCTTTAATAACACTCTGTAAGCGTTTGGGAACTGAGGAGACACTGCTGTAGTTTTGAAAGTGAAATGTTTTCCATTCTTGTTTAACATAGGATTTCAGCTGCTCAACAGTTCGGGGTCTCCTTTGTCGTAGTTTTCAATTTAGACAGGTCTGGACTGCAGGCAGGCCAGTTTAGCACCCGGACTCTTTTAATACAGAGCTATGCTGTTGTAATACATGCAGAATGTGGTTTGAAATTGTCTTGCTGAAATAAGGAAGGCCTTCCCTGAAAAAGACATTGTCTGGATGGCAGCACATGTTGCCAAAACATGTATATATCATTCAGCATTAATAGTAACTTTACAGATGTGCCATTCACCAATGCCATGTGCACTAATGCTCCCCTATACCATCATGAATACTGGCTTTTGAACTATGCACTGATAACAAGCTGAGTGGTCTTTAGCCCAGAGGACAAAGTGTCCATGATTCCAAAAAAGAAATTCAAATGTTGATTTGTCAGACCACAGAACACTTCTCCACTTCCCCTCAGTCCATTTTAAATGAGCTAATGCCCAGAGAAGGTGGCAGCATTCCTGGATCCTGTTTATATATGATTTCTTCTTTGCGTTTAAGAGTTTTAATTAGCATTTGAAGATGCAGCAACGAACTGTTTTCATAGACAGTGTTTTTCAGAAGTTTTTCTGAGCTTATACAGTGATTTCCTCTAGAGAATCATGTCTGTTTTTAATGCAGTGCCACCTGAGTGCCCAAACGATCACAGACAGCAAATACTGGTGTTTGGTCTTGTCCTTTGCATACAGAGATTTCTCCAGATTCTCTGAATCTTTTAATGATATTACATACCGTAGATGATGAAAAGCAAAAGTTCTTTCCTATTTTATGTTGAGAAATGTTGTTCTTAAATTGTTGCACTATTTGATTGTGCAGTCTTTCACAGAGTGGTGAACCCCTCCTCATGTTTACTTCTGAAAGACTCAGCCTCTCTGGGATAATCATTTTATACCCAGTCATGTTACTGACCTGTTGCCAATTAACCACCAGGTGTTTTTTTAAGCATTACACAACTTTAACAGCCTTTTGTTGCCCCTGTCCCAACTTTTTTGGAACATGTTGCTGGCATCAAATTCAAAATGGGCATATATTTAGAAAAAAACAATAACATTTCTCAGTTTCAACATTTGATATGTTGTCTTTGATGCTTTTCAATGAAATATAGGGTTTATATGATCTGCACATCATTGCATTTTGTTTGTATTTACATTTTTCACACCATCCCAACTTTTCTGGGAATAGGGTTGCACATTATCTGCATTTCTCATTTGAGTGTGCATCAGTTAAGATCCAAATCAAATTCAATCGCAAAGTTTGTATTTGTATTTCTGTGTTTAGTTGTTGGAAAATTGAATATGATAAAGCAAATCTTTTGATATTTCATTTTCATTGTCTTAATGGTTTGACTCTGCCATGTTAAAAACAAAATAACTATAGCTCATTTGTAACTGGATTTCATCATGTTTGCACTCCAGCTCTGCCAAAATGAAAATATATCGGCACCCCTAGTTGCAATTACATTTTCACCATCAACGAGGCAGCAGCTCATTAACGCTCCTTGACTTTTTGTAATGGGTGTGTCAAAGCAAAGAAAGCCCAAAATGTAAAGGCAGTGTTTCTCCAGTACAGACCTGGTCGGCTCTATACGCTCACTACACACATTTAGATAGGGCTCTGCAAATTACGCAAGGGACCCATTTCCCCATCATGTGAAAGATGAAAGGATGAAGTGTAACCATCCATTCTGTCACAAAAAAAAAAAAAACAAGAGAGAATTTTGGGAACAGCAATCAGGTAAACTTGTGTTCTCTCCTTTCCAACTTTGATGTCAAAAGTAATAAAAAAGTGAAACTGAAATACAACAATTTAATCTATTTGATTAACACCATCTGGCGATGACTTTAAGTCATTTTACACAGAAATGCAAATACAAATGCAAATTTTTTTAACTGAATTTGAATATGTCTTAAATGATGCTCACTGACATGGGAAATGCAAAAGTAAATATACAATTTAATTAGCATTTTTAAATTTGCATTTCAATTTGAAAAAGTTCATGATATGCTACCATATAAATGGTTAAAATTATATATATCACAAAAATGAATTTACGATCTTTGAACAGAGAGACCAAAAGCTACAGTGAAAGTCCAGCCAGCTGATCATGTGTTCATCAGAGAGAGAGTCACTCTGACATGTGAAATAGAAAGTGGAGATGACTGGAATTATGAATGGTATAAGAATAATAATCTTCTCAGAGATGCTCAAAGGAAGAAATATGAAATCTCTAATGTGGATGAGTCTCATGCAGGTGTTTATACCTGTAAGGGAACACAGTCAACAGGCCGAATATACACACACACCAGTGAAGCTGTTACACTGACTGTATCAGGTGAGTGTGGCGACTTTCTTATTTTATTTCTATTATTTGGAGTTTAAGGCGCATTACTACCATCAAAGACTTCATCCTCTACTAAACATATGAGCAAATTTTCTCTTTAAAATACTCAGTTTCTCTAAAGCTTCAGTGATTTCATGTACAGTACTGTGCAAAAGTCAGAGACCACCCTTCATTATTTCATTTCCAGTCAAAACAGCCATAAAGTCGACCTACAAGTAGAAAACATTTAGAAAAGTACACTAAAGCTTCAACAAGTAAAGATGATCTGAAAATATTTATTTTTATTTAGTGCTCATGAACTCTTCGCCTTTATCACAGCTTCCATTCTTTTCAAGAGTTCTCTAAAATTCAGGCCTCGTCCACACGTATCAGGATATTTTTAAATGTTATTTCTTTTGAATTCAGAAATAATCCTCGTCCACACCAACAGCGTTTTTAAACATTTTTCAGTCCACACGAGAATAAAAAATGACTCAAAAACACTCCAATGATCATGCCAGTAATGGCTGTGTTACAAACACAGCAGACACATCAGATCTCTAATTTTAAATTACATTAAAAAAAAATAAAAACAAATCCTGACACTTGTTTTTTCATGGTTTGTTTATACTGCCATGATTATGCTACTGTCTCTGAAATGTCCACACATTCCTGAGTTTTCTAGCTTTTCACTTGACACTAATTAACCATTTGCAAACGTCTCATCTCTCTTTGTTATTGTTTCTACATCTTTCAAACTTTTATATAGTCTATTATAATCTCCATGTTCTCTCTGTCAGATGTAGCTCAGGCAGTATTGAGTGTGTCTCCACAGAGCTGGCTGACTGAAGGAGACTCAGCGACTCTAAGCTGTGAGGTTACAGGCTCCTCTACAGGCTGGACATTCAGCTGGTACAGAGCTGTTCTCTACAGACAAGGCTTACAACAAATAAGAGACGTTCATGGCAATGTTCTGTATCATGTAGAGCTCCTGTCAGACAGCAGAAGAGAAGCTGGAGGCTCCTACACTCTCAGTCCTGCTGCTCTAAATCACACAGGAGTTTATGTGTGCAGAGCAGAGAGAGGAGAACCAGTCTATCAGACACAGTACAGCACTGCACAGACACTATGGATCACTGGTGAGGAAATATAGAAATGATTTAGGTTGTTTATATATATGTCGTATTCATCAAAACCATTCTTTTAGTGAACAGTATATTTGTTTAGCATTTTTATTTATCAACATGCTACATGTGTATCTTGTGTGCATGTTCAGGTTCATCTCCTCCAGCCTCTCTGATCATCAGTCCCAGCAGAACTCAACACTTTAGTGCTGGCTCTCTCTCACTGAGCTGTGAGGGACAGAGTAACTCTACTGGATGGAGAGTGAGGCGATACACACACAGTGGGGAGGTGTCAGATTGTTCATCAGTTACAGGATCTACATGCAACATCAGCTCCCTCTACACATCCCTCACTGGAGTTTACTGGTGTCAGTCTGAATCTGGAGGAGGAAGTGATCCTCTCAACATCACAGTGCACAGTGAGTCTCCATTACTCTCTAACAGTAATAGGAGTCTGTGATACCCTGAGAGGGGGGTTGTATGAAAAAAAGGAGTACAGATGCGGTGGTGTCAGCGGGCAGGGAGCTTTTTCTTTCTCTCACAAAACACAAAACAAACAAAAGAACGTTAGGCTGTGAATGGAAAGCTCTTCACTACTGCAGGATTTAGTGTTGTTTCTGTCTCTAGAGTTTCAAGTTCAGCTTGTCTCCCTGCCGTGTGCTCCTCTCTCCCAGGTCTCTCTCCCTCCCTACTGGGGAAAGAAGCTCATATTAGTAGGGAAAGAGAGAATCGTGTATGCGTTTGCCAATCAGTCCACGTCCTCACTCTGGCCCAGCCTCTCCCCTGTAAACGGCGCTTGGCCACACCCCCGCTGCCACAGAGTTCAATATAGAGGACTAAAGATATTTTGAAAGCTTTTTAACTATTAGTACATTTTTATCAATGCAGTTTTACTAGGTAAGACTTCAGTACAGGAGGGCATTATAATGCTTATATTGTCCTACAAGCCAGTTGCTGGTTATTAATCCCTTAGAATCCCAGGCTAATTACATACTAATGTATTATTCAGTAACTACAGGGACTTCAGTGCAAGCTATTTGAGCTGTTCTAGAAGTTATCAAGGTGTGTATTAAACCATTGGGCCCAATGGCAGCCCTGTAAGGGTTTAACTGTCTGTCTATTATTACTCATTATTCTTAGTAAAAATTAATTAAAGTGAATTAAAGACATTTTTATAATGTTTGCAATGTGACCTTGGGTCTAAGAATGGCAATATATAAGTAACACTTCTTCTTCCTATTATTGTAATTATTATTATTAGTAGTAGTAGTAGTAGTAGTATGTACACAATAATTACTTGAGTATTAGGTCTATATTGAATGAGCTTATTAATTAACTTACATTTTGAAATGCTTACTTAGTTACTTTGTGTCCCATCAAAAAAAAAGAATCTGTGAAGAACATATAAAATAACACATTTTCAGTGACTTTACACTGTAGACTTCCTACACATATATATTACACACGTGGTCACGTGATCATGTGATCCCCAGGGGGTTCTGGGAGATGGAGTCCAAGGAGACCACTCAGCCGAAGTGAGTCACGACACTACAACCGCTAAAGGAGAACCCTACGCTGGACACTTGTGATATTTTAAACATCTCGTATTTTTGCATAAATTGTTATGGCTGTACTGATTTAAGAAACCAATAATGCAGTGGGTCCAGTAGACCACTGAGTAACAAACACATCAACACCACACAAGGTTAAGATGACCTCTCTTAGGTATAAATGCGTCACATAAGAGCCCAGAGCTTCAACTAATGTATACATGTGCATCCAGAGGGCCCCATTCTTTTTTTCTGTTTTCTCTTTCGTTTTACTCTCTCCTACAGATGGTGATATGATTCTGGACAGTCCTGTCCATCCTGTGACTGAGGGAGATTCTCTGACTCTCCACTGTTTATGTCGCTCCACAAAGCCCTCAAACCTCATAGCTGATTTCTATAAAGATGGATCTCTGCTCCAGACCCAGACTACAGGAGAGATGATCATCCGTACTGTCTCAAAGCCAGATGAAGGTCTCTACCACTGTAAACACCCAGAGAAAGGAGAGTCACCAAAGAGCTGGCTCTCAGTCAGAGGTCTGCTGCTTTAACAAAAAATGTTTAATGATAATATTTTATATTTTAATGAGAATGTGTTCACAGTAGTGTCTGTTCTATATTACAGTGATTTTATTGTGTGTATCAGGTTTGTCCAGTTCAGGAGCTCCAGTCTCAGTGCTCTGTCTGCTCAGTAGTTTAATGGCAGCGTCTCCATATTTGCTGGTGTCCATTGTGCTGGGAGTCAAATGCTACAGAGCTCGAGGTAAAAACTCAGTAGTGGTTTTTACTACTATATAAAATCGGATGAAAGACTGATGTGAAATGTTGATCATTGTGTTTTTCACAGCTGATGCGGAGAACAGAACATAAGCAGTGATGGAAGCTGGAGCATCTTGCTGAGTGAATACCAGAATTTGTTTACATTATATAATATATATACATGTGTCAGTAAGTGCAGTTCTAGTAGTCTTTTAGTCCGTCTGACAGAACAGATCCACTTCTGAGAGGAAAAGGAGCTAAAATCCCTCTAAAACAGCTCACTGAGCAGAGTGGATACATTACATATCGTTACTGTCAGAACAAAACCTCATATCTCCTTTTTTGTCGTTTTTCTGTTTTTGACATCATTTGAATATGCCTCTTGGCCTTTACATTGTTTGTAAATTTCATGATGAACGGATCAAAAGAAATGGCCCACAATTACTTGGAAAAAAGTCTGGTTCCATTGACTTACATTAAAAGTAAAGTATGTTTTTTCCTTCTTCTGTAAAATTATCATTTTGGAGATACGAGGGTTTGTTCTGACAGCAGCGATATGTTGCATTGTATGTGACAGTGTTTATCTCCTGTATCCCTGTCAAACAAACAAATGAATGCATTAATGAATGAACGAATGAATGAATGAATGAATGAATGAATGAAAACATGGAACGTGATGCAGAGCTGATATGGATGCCTGGCAATAGTTGTAATATATTCAGCTAAACCAGGTATGAATTATTTATTTATTTTTATTTTATTTTTTAACTTTTTTACATTAACAATAACTGTTCCATCTAAAGACTTAAAAGACATAAATTATTTTTATGATATTTTATCAGTGGTAACTTTCTTTTACTTAGAAATATGATAAACATACCTGAAGTGTCATAGTGTGATTCAAAGAAACATCCTGTTTTGTCAGTGTTTCAATAAAGATAAAATGAAAATTTGGATGATAAATTGTGTTGACTGTCTATTCTGAGTGGCTGATTCATACAAATATCTTGATTTAGGGTCCAGATTCTGGTAACAGCTCTTTAGAACCTCTACAGGCATTGAGGCACCATCTGCTCACATGGGCTAAGGCGGATTTTGTTATATTTTTAGCCTTTTTTTGTTCTACTTTCACATTATAAGATGTTTCAGTTTTCACAGAGGTGACATTTCTGTTCAGTAGCATCAATATTCTAAAGATCCACAACAAACAACAACCATCATCTTCTCCTCAACAGAATGAGGCCTACAGTAAAAACTGCACACTGCAGGTGGAGCATGTATGCAAACTAAGGTCACTGTAAAAAATGACGTCCAGATTCTTGATATGGTTTTCTGCCTTCACTGAATAATTACATTTAGGGAAATAATTTCAGACACTTTTGTTTTACTTCCAGTGCTTATATCCACCTGAAATTCACATATGTAATGTCTTTTGTCACTGTATTGATACAATCTTTTAAAAATGCATGTATTCATAAGCATAAACAAAGACATTTAAAAAAAATTAAATTAATAACATTTGAACATTCTTGAAAATTTTGCAGAATACAAAATGTTTCTATTGTGCATCATATTTTACCTCATATTCGACTTCTCTTACTCGTCGTGCGACCTCAAAGGCCCTTGCCCCTTGGTGAGTAATTGATAGCTTGTCGTGGGCAGCACCTCCTGATGTAAATTTCTTCTCTCACTTCGAAGCCACAGTGTCGCACACCATCTCCCACCACAGGACCCATCCTCTATAATTTCCTTAACTAATGTCTTAAATTGTGGCCAATTTGTCCCCAAAATCAGAGGCTGGGTAAGGCAAAGACTAACCACAACCTGAACACTAGGTTTTTCTCCGTGGAAATCAATAGTGACTGACACCAGTGGATATTCGTGTATATCCCTGTGAATACACTGGACTTTCAATTTTTAAGCCTTCTCCAATGCCACATTTTGAACCAGGCATTGATGGATTGTGGTGTGATTTCAACCTGAATCCACTAAGGTTTATAAGTACCCCCTTGAATACTCACTGCTATGCAGAATTTTCCAGCTCAGTTGGGGGAGATGTGTGGTAAGTCAGGGATTCAGACCCCACCTCCATGTGATAACATTGGTCCTGGAAATGGCGTCAATGGCATTATCAAAACTGATGTTCTGAATATAAAATGTAAACTTATGCTGAATGTGGGCTCATCTGTGCTACAGCTACCGTCCAATCTGCTGTGTGACACTGCACTGCTTCTCCACCGATGTGCAATAGAGATTCAGTAATACCATTAACATCATCAAAACAACAAACTGTAGTCTATTATTTGATCTACTTCAAATATAAAGGTCAAAGGATTATCTTGTAAGAACGTTACGTCAAGGTCTTGGACGTATTAGAGCTGCTTTAAGAAGGATCAAATCATTGTGGTCATATAACTGGGTCAGAGCATGTCCAAAACAACAAGATTTTTGGGGTATAAGTACATAACGACAGTGCTCTGAGGTTGAACAAACCATCGACCAGTGACAGGCTGTTAGGCATCCAAGGCTTATCTATGTACAAGGGCAACGAAGAGGCCAACACCTGATCAGAACTTACAGAAGGGCTACTGTAACACAACTCACAGAAAAGTTTAATGATGGTTACAGGAGAAATGAGGAATGTGTCACAACACTGTTGCATATAAAGTTGCGTAGCTGCAGACCTGTCAGAATGCCCATGCTGACCCCTGCTTTGGACATAATAGCCTACTTAGATGTTCACCTTAAGTGAAGAGCTTCAGTTAAAAATTGCTCATTTTAAAGCTTAGTAGTTTGTAAGGTAATGTAATGTGTCCTCCACATTAATAATTTATACTGTAATTAGTTATTTAGCTGATTATTTAGCAGAACACAGAAAACCTCACACACAAAGATACAAAACTGTGGGAACATTTCACTGATCCTATTTCTGTAGTCTGTGAGTAAAATGTTTGTGCACTGATCAGCCAAATTTAGTGTCACAAGCCTGAGAACAGAGAAGAGTTAGAGATGTGTTTGTGGTCTGATTTCTATTCTAATAGAACAGCAGCAATGACAACATCAACTAAATGAGGACCTGAAACCTAACAATGTTTTTTTAACGCACATTTATTACATTGTTTATGTAAAGCTATAAAGTCATATTTATTACAGGACAGTCTTTTCTTCAAATATTCATAGCAATACTGATATCCAATTTCCAGGCTCATGTCCTTCCTTAAAATCTAAGTGCAGCCATAATGCTGGGTCTCCGGTGGAATGAACTTTCCCCCGGACTCTGCACTGCAGTTAGCTCTCATGCTCAGTTCTTTCCTCTGTGGTCTGAAGACTCGTATCTTCAGGTATTATCTAGGTTAAGATCTCTCTGCACTCATTCACACTTCATTTTTGCAAGTTACCCACTAACACCCCCCCAACCACAACAGACCCTCGCTTTTAAACTTCACGCTGATAACAATCAGTCCGTTTCTCCTTTTTCTCAGAGAACACAACGTTCATTATTTCCATAAACAATCTGAAAGTTTGACCACAATACACGTTTCCACTGTCCATGAGTCCATTTCAGTTAAGCTTGAGTCCAGAGAGATCAGCAGCGTTTCTGGACGTAGTTGACCTATCATTTCTGCTGGGCATAGAACAGTCCTAACTTGCATTTGTGAATACAATGACAGATAATGTTTATGGAAAAAGATTTGTAAAATATTTCCAAGACCGTGAGCTGATCTCCATCACAGAAACGTGGGTTTTAATACAGTTCTGTCTGAGGGGTCGAAAGTCATAAGAATCCCATTGTGGTTTTCGGCCTTTCCTGTATGCTCCTTTTATACCCACACATGATTAAATCACCTGTTTAAGAACATTCACAATGCTCCTAGTCTTAAACTGCCCCTGTAACAACTTGTTTTAGTCAACATTACATCTTCTCTTTGTATTGTTTTCATTCAAATTCAGGTTAAAGGGGAGATTCATAAATCACTGCTCTCTGTTTTTATTTACATTTTACCTGCTGTCCTTATCTGTCTTGGTTCTCCTACATCTCAGTGCTGACTTTGATTCCGTTGACCATGAAATTCTACTGGTTGCAGAACAAGGCTGGTGTCATTATTGACAGTGACTTCAGTTTCTAAAAGCACACCACTGTTTGTAAAACTGTATATTATCACCTCTGCAGTGTCTCAGAGGTTGATAACATTTTGTGTCTGACAGTGAAAAACTCAACCATGCCTCTGTCTCCTCTGGACTGGATCACTGCAACAAAATGATCCTTAGATATGATCCTACAAGAGTCATCAAGGAAATTCAGGAATTCAGCTGAAGAGGGTGAATCAGCTTTCAGACTCTCAAATTCTCTACCTCAAAACAGAGCTACACTTGATTTTAGTCAGCTTTTTTTTTATTTTTCTATATGTTCTATGTATTTGTATACATTTTTATCACCTTATTAAGAAGCAGTTTTCCTTCACATATAGAGACAGCAATTGCTCTTTCAAAACCTGCTATAGATGCCCATAATAACATAAAAGAGGTCGTTGCTGCAATTTTGTGCTTTTAACTTGTAAACGCCTACCAAGGTACATTATTCTTAATTCTACAGACACACACACACATTTTCCAAACCGCTTATCCTTCTGGGATGGGGGGTGGGCATTGGTGCTGGAGCCTATCCCAGCACTCATTGGGCAGAAGGCAGGATACACCCTGGACAGGTCACCAGTCTATTGCAGGGCAGACACAAAGACATATACACACTTACACCTAGGGGCAATTTAGCATGTCCAGTTGGCCTGACTGCATGTCTTTGGACTGTGGGAGAACACCAGAGCAACTGGAGGAAACATCCACACTGAAAGGACCCTGGTCACCCAGCCAGGATCGAACCCAGGCTCTTCTTGCTGTGAGGCAACAGCACTACCCTCTGCACCACCATGCCCGCAACACGATACAATTATTAAAAAAAAAAAGTTAATTTCAATTTATTGACTTCCAAAAAATCCCCTGAATAAACTGTGTTCTGTGAATAAAGGCCTTTACACTGGCTGGAGAAAGAACTTCACTCACACCTTTGCCAACAGTGAACATCCTCCAGCTTACTATCACCTTTAAATCTGTATAACAAATGAACAGATATTAATCAAGTCAACAGACTTGAACTGCAATGAGGTGTTCATAACCTTTTTCAAATGCTGTTTTATGCAGCAGAACCCTGTATTTACAAGTGAACACTCTATTATAATATCTCACTCACAAAAGAAAAAAACTATGGGAGCGTCTCGCTGCTCTCATATCTATGATCTATTAGTAGAACTGTTGTGAACGTCATCAGCCAAACTCACACCCAGAACATGGTGTCTGAGTGCTGAGAGCAGAGAGGA